AGCCTCCCGAGTAGCTGGGACTGCAGGCATGCGCCACCATGCCCGGCTAATTTCTCTGTATATTTTTAGTTGTCCAACTAATTTCTTTCTATTTTTACTAGAGACGGGGTCTTGCTCTTGCTCAGGCTGGTTTCGAACTCCTGAGCTCGAACAATCCGCCCGCCTCAGCCTCCCAGAGAGCTAAGATTACAGGCATGAGCCACCACGCCCGGCCAAGAATTTTTTTTAAACCATTAAAATTTATGAGAAAGATAATGGCTCTTACTGACAAAAACAAAACAACACAAAAAACAAAGCAAGAATGTTTAAGTCAAAGGACATGAATAAAATTTCCCTGTTGACTGCTTGTTACTCCTTTGTGATGATGATTATTATATATTACTATTAGTCTCTTTTTATAAATAGTCTTTCATTCGTTATCTGTTCATGATGTGATTATTTTCCTAAAAGTTCTTTCATCTTCCATAACTACGGGAGGAGGACTTAGACTCTATTTCTATTTATCCAATTACAGATTGAACATCCCAGATCTGAAAATCTGAATCTGAGATGCTCCAAAATCTGAAACTTTGTAAGCACCAACATGACACTTGAAGGAAATGCTCATTGGAACATTTTGGATTTTGGATGTTGGGATTTGGAATGCTCAGTTGGTATAATGCAAATATTCCAGAATCCCCCCAAAAATCCAAAATCCGAAATACTCTGGTCCCAAATATTTTGGATAAAGGATACTTACTCAACCTGTACAATTAGACTTAAATTGCTTCACTTAGGCTTTTCCTTATCTGTTAATTTCTTTATGCTTTCCTTTGACTTTGTTCTTTCATGTCTCTCTGATATATATTACTTGAAAAGTGATTCCATAGCAGGACTCACTCCTCTCATCCTTCATTATTTTCCCCCTCCCCACAAATCCATTTCTCTTCTTCTGTGTGGCAAATCGTGACTGTTCTGTATGCACTGGAAACAAGCATCCTTCTAATAATTTTACAATTAATTTTGTTAGTGCTAGGATATATAGTCTATGATTATAAGACAAAACCACAGCAGATTTTGTTTAGTTTTTACTCCATTATTTTTACACAGCATAATGCTCCAATTCCTCAAGGAGGGCGTGGTGCAATCCAGTTTGTGACTCAGTATCAGCATTCAAGTGGGCAGAGACGCATTCGAGTGACCACCATTGCTAGGAAGTAAGTTGTATTTGGTAGAGATTTAATTCTGATATTAAAGCTATTCTGGGTCATGCTCTAAACTGGGTTCTTATTTTGGTGACATTTATGACTATAGCAACTGAAGATTTATGATTAATTATTTTATTGCTTTCTAACCTAGCTTATTTGCTAGAGTATTCATTGTTAAGAACTGTAAGAGCAATTTTAAAAAAGTACTCCTAAGACACACCCTTCAAAATATTCTTTTATTTACGTTATTCCCATGAGGGGAGGAGAAAAATCAAACATTTTCCTATAATAGACTGTGATAATATATATGTAAAATCTGTTATATATACATACATAATAATATGGCACAATAATTAATAGTATTACTTTTTCAATTAATGATTCTTAGCTTGCTTTTTCAAGTCTTATGAGTCATTTAGTTCATTTATTAAGTCTTCATTCAGCTTCTGCTTTATGAACTAGGTACTGTTGTAGGAGAGTGTGATTGCAGAAGATGTGAACATACTTCATCTGCTATGTGAGGGTGTGGCTTAGACCATGTCTATGGGAAAGAACCAGTTGTGTTTTTTCCCCTAATCCTTTGAGGATACACGTTTATTAAATATAATAAAAATAAACTACTAAGAAAAAGAAATTTCAAAAAGCCATTCAAACCACAAATGCCTGTTTTTTATTATGAGCTTCATTAGACATAAAATTATTTTTTCCTGTTGCTCAGAAAGTGTCTAAATGTTTATTCTCAGTTTCTGTTCCTACCTCATGGCAAACTGGCACTGGTTTGCGTATCACACTTTGACTAGCATTTGTTGAAATCACAAAAGATGAAGTTTCTAGCAGTTAAGATTATATAGGATAGTATTTTGTTTAACATAGTCATGTCCTAATTTGTTGATATAAGCAGAGTCTCCAAAAGGGAATAATTAGGCACAACAGATACTTTTTCTTATTCCTATCTGTATGATAGATTCTCTGAATTGGGTGTGTATTTGGTCACGTGTTCTTTGCACAGCATTTGCAGAGACAAGTTGAACTCAATTTCGTGCCTCTATTTTTATTAAAAATAAATTATTTCTCAGCCACTTTGATATCCTTCTGTATGTATTTGTGAAGTATGAAACAAAGGAAAAATGATTGTGGAAAGAAGTTAGGAAGAGATTCTTGGATGAGGTGAGTCTAGATGTGAACAGGCTTTTGGTCTTTATTTCTGTTTGTCTTGAACTTGATTGTCTGGGTAGGGAGAGTGTTGATGAGTAAAACTTACCTGATTTAGGCATGGACTAGAAAACTGACACTGAAGGCATGTAGCTCTCATTTTATTTAACCGTATTTAAACTCTAGCTTCATTCATGAAAACCAAAAGACTGTTTCGATGAGTGATGGACATGAGCCCAACATTTGGACTGAATGTTTTTTGTGTTGGAGGATCTATTACTTAGCACAGGGTTGTACATAGAGTTAGCATCCTGTTCTGCTGCCTTGCTTTGACCAAACATCCTGGAACAATGTTAAGGGACTATATTATTCATTTGAAGAAAAAAATGTCAACTGGAAATTCCCTTAGATTTGTTCAGATTTCAAATAAGGAGCTTGGAAGTACTGATTCTTGAAAAGCTTGTGAATTTATTTATGCCCCTCAATACACACACACACACACATGCACACGATGTGTAAGTTATGTTGATTATCCAAAAAACATGCTTAAAGAAACAACTGGACATATTAAATGAGGGACATTTTTTTATAAAGCCACTGGCTTACACTCTTCAAGAATGTCTTGGAAGGCAAAGAACGTCTGAGAAACTGGTTCACATTAAAAAGTACCAAAGAAACATGACTGCTAAGGCCAATGTGTGATCTTAGATAAAATCTTATGTCACGAAAAAATTTGCTGTGGAGGATGTTACTGAGATAATTGGGGAAATTTGAATATGGTCTACATATAGGAAAATAGCATTTTATCAGTGTTAGATTTCATGAATTTGATAATTGGTTGGTGCTATATAAGAATTTTGTGTTCTTAGGAGATACACACTGAAGTATTTAGGGCAGAGGGTCATGCTATCTCCTACTTAGTCTCGAAAAGTTAAGCAAAAGAAAAAGTGTGTTTGTATAAAGGGAGAGAGAGAGATAAGGCAAATGTGTTAAAATGCTATTATAACAATGGATGAATCTAGGTGACGGATATATAAGAGTTCATTCTTCTCTTCTTACAGTGTTTAAATTATTTTTAAAATGAAAAGTTTTGAGAAGTTAGGCCGGGCACGGTGGCTCACGCCTATAATCCTAGCACTCTGGGAGGCCGAGGCAGGCAGATCGTTTGAGCTTTAGGAGTTCGAGACCAGGCTGAGCAAGAGTGAGACCCTGTCTGTACTAAAAATAGAAAGAAATTGGCCAAACAACTAAAAATAGAAAAAATTAGCCGGTCATGGTGGCGCGTTCCTGTAGTCCCAGCTACTCGGGAGGCTGAGGCAGAAGGATCGCTTGAGCCCAGGAGTTTGAGGTTGCTGTGAGCTAGGCTGATGCCATGGCACTTTAGCCCAGGCAAGAGAGTGGGACTCTGTCTCAAAAAAAAAAAAAAGTTAGATTAATCTTTCAAGAAAAAGTGAGCTTTCTTGTGAGAAATTTCATGGGTTTCTGTATTTTCCCCTTGCACGGAATTTGTGAGGCCATTTGTACAGAGATACTATTTGCGTTAAGGTACCATTTATAGCACTGTGTCTCACCAAAGCACCCATCTTTTCAAGTTAACTTATCCTGACCATTTTCAATAATGAAGGCTTCATGTTTGTTTTATTTACTAGGAATATGACTTTCGGGGCCTAGGGAAATGTCTTTGTTGGGAGAATAAGCCATGTGAAAATAAGGACTCAGGCTCCTGAGATAACAAAATAACCTTATTTTTCATGTAGAAAATAATTTTGATCTCGAAAGTTTGGTTTGAAACTAGATACAAGAATCACAGTGAAGGGCTGTTATAAGTTTAGAGGGCAGATTTTACGATGTTGAGAAGCCCTTTAAATTTGGCTTTAAGGTCATACATTTTAATTTATGACTAACCAAATTATAATTAGTAAATTTTCATGTGTTTGCTTGCTAATGTATTGTACCATTATATTTTCAGAAGAAAAAAATGTCACCTTTGTGGTTCAGTTTAAAGCACCTAACTATCATGGTCATCCAAGTTAAGAAAGTACAGATTCAAACAATTTTGGTTTTAATTCTTTGATTTTAAAAAATTAAATAATTAACAGTTAAACTAAACTATTCATATAATCACTGTTTAAATTGCGTTAAAAATCTCACTCCTTTCTGCCTCTTACTATTTCATTAGACTGAGATAATTCACAGTTGTCAACCATCTAGAAAATATTTAAAAATTACTTGTCTGTTGAAAGAAAATTAAAAATAGAGGAAGAAGGAAGAAGAATTTTAAATATGTTGCTGCTTGAATTCCCTTGGGATCATTCTTACATGTAAAAGTGGTTCAGCATTTATTTTCAGGAAGTATATAAGTATTGCCAGTTTTGCCAGTTACTAGGTCTATGAAATATTAAACAAACAAACAAATAAAAACTATTGCTGGGTCTACCCAGGATCAGTTTGACTGGATTGGATTTACTGAACATATGAATCTAATAAATTACTGCTGTTTTTTACATAATATCAAATTAATCCCTTAGGCTGAAAATTTTATGTATTAACTTTCAATTGGTTTTAGTCAATGCGTTAACATGTAGAGAACAGAATACAAAGTAATTTTAATTATGTGATTTGTATCACTAATGATTGAGTTAAAGACCAATGAGGAAAAAATTCTAATACTTTATTCATTTTTTAGTTTAATGAGAATTACTTAGTCTGAGAGAAAACCTTTATTTTTGTATTTCCATATTTCTGCTTTTACAAAAATTGAAGAAATAAAATTTTAAAGTCTGACCTAGAGACTGTGTATTTGTGCACACACATATATCCTATTATTTTTACTTGTAAAAATCTTAACGTTTTAAGAAATGTGGTTAGAGATCTGCCTTTACAGTTACTTTAGAAGAGTTTTTAGGGTTGGTTATATTTTTCTGAAAAACAATGAATGCTAGACTGAAACTGGTATTAATGATTTTTTTTTAAAAAACATGCTAATTTGTCTAGTATTGGAAATTTGAAATATTGAAGTAGTTTTCTATATCTTTTAAATTTCAATTTGTGTGGTAGCCAACTATTATATTGTGAATATAATAATTTAGCAGCATTTCTGCACTTTCTTATTGTCTTTAGCTGGGCAGATGCTCAAACACAAATCCAGAACATTGCTGCATCTTTTGACCAGGAGGCAGCTGCTATTCTTATGGCCCGGCTGGCAATATACAGAGCAGAAACAGAGGAGGGGCCAGATGTGCTTAGGTGGCTGGACAGACAGCTCATTCGACTGGTAAGAAGTAAACACTGTGCTTTGCTAAATTCGTGTTTTCATTTGTGTTAAAGGTTTGTTGTAGATCATCTCCTTCAAAGTACTTAACAATGTACCTGAAATACTGTATGAGGGACCCCTATTCACAATTACTGAGATAGTAGCACAGTAATGAATAGTATAATAGAATTCAGTGATCTCTTCAGTAAACTAGATTGCCTTTTTTCCTTAAAATGAAAGAGTGACAATTATGTAACCTACTATTTTTCTATTCTTATTGGCTGGTTTGAGGTTAATTCCAAATTTAATTCTGAATTGCTATAACAGTTTTTATTGCTTTTTTCCATATTTCTTTCTTCATTGTTATGGTTTTAGTTTTCTGCTTTCATTTTAATGGAAGTATTATATGTGCTTCTTTTAAAAGAAAGAAATTGGGATATTAAAATTATCCATATTAACATGGAAAAATATAAACAAATCTTGTTTATTTGGTTCTAGATTATTAAAGTATGTACTAGTAAAGTTATTCGTAATGTTGATTTACTTGGGTTTTAACATGCCAGGACCTCATTACTGTACTTATGTTATGACCTAGAGCACTTTAGTAAAGTTAGCCATTTTTGTAGCATCATCCAGAACTTTCCTTTAATCTCCAAGTTTTTTTTACACCAGCACTTCTTTGTGAAGAAAGTATCATTATGATATTAACGTATCTTTTCTTTTTTTTTTTTTTTGAGACAGAGTCTCTGTTGCCCAGGCTAGAGTGCCATGGCATCAGCCAGCTCACAGCAACCTCAAACTCCTGGGCTTAAGTGATCCTCCTGCCTCAGCCTCCCAAGTAGCTGGGACCAAAGGTGTTCGCCACCACGCCTGGCTAAGTTTTTCATATTTTAGTAGAGATGAAGTCTCGCTCTTGCTCAGGCTGGTTTTGAACTTCTGACCTCAAGCAGTCCTCCTGCCTTGGCCTCCTAGAGTGCTAAGATTACAGGTGTGAGCCACTGTACCCAGCCTTGGCATGTCTTTTTTAATGAGAGATTAAGCCTCTCGTAGGATCCACCACTGATGGGACACCATCAGTACAAATGCCAACCCAGTTCTTTCAAGATGCATCTTTTGTTTCCAGATAGGAAGATAAAGCATAAATATATTTGACCTTGGCTTGTTTAGGGGAGCAGAAAAATTTCTCTTTGGATCAGAAAAGTTTTCCTGAATTTCATTATCATTTAGAAATCTGACATGACATTCGTGAAACCTATTAACTGATCAACATGTAGAGACTGTTATTTTTCAGCTTATTACACAAACTCTTCAATATCATGTGACATGTCATCAATGCTTTGACATATTATACTGTTTTAAAATGGAACCTTTTCAGTTTCTCAGACTGCATCTTATCCTAGCATTTTACATACTGTAATTTTACATGTTGGCGTTATTAGGTTTTCACCAACTGTGTGATTTTTCTTTCTTTTCTGGGTAATAAGTTATGCTCTGCAATAGCTTACTTTCTGAGCCTTTTCACTGAATGTGACTTTGTCTTAACAAATGCTTAGCTCTTTGAAGTAATCAGCACCTTAATATGTCAGATGGCTGTGATTTCTTTTAAAGAACTTTTTCCATTTTGCTGGAGCTATTGCTACATTTGTAGATTGCCACATGTGACACAAAATTGAATAGTACAACTTGGATTACTAGCCCAAGTAAAACCCACTGATAAGTACCTTTCATTGTAAAGATGGACTTTTTCTGTGTCCCTTGTTACACAACTGCAGTGAAATTACTTAGATGATAGTAATTCTTCAGAATTCTCTATAGGCTTAGGTCTAGAATCATTCTCTTATCTCACACCCCAACTTGAAAAGTTGCCATATTGTTTGATATGTTTGTAAAACACAAACACTAATAAAATATAAAACACAAGGGACTAGTAATTAATTGAGACAATTACAAAAAGTACCAAATTTAAAATCCCTATAATATAATTTACTTATAATCTATACAGTCTGTATTTTGCAACATTTACAATAGCAACAAGGCAGTTCAGCTAGAGGATAGATGAGTTTTATAATATTATCTTATAATTATGACTGAGGGGAATGGGGGCTTATCTGTCATTGGTACCAGTACCAGTTTGGCCTTACAATGTCCACTATCTACAAAAAAGTACCCAAAAATGATGTTTCCTTATAATTATAATTACTCTAGTGAGTCATCAAGAAAAAGAAAATATATTACTATACCAAATCGAGACAAGGAAATTTGTTACTATAATTTCATAGAATTTTCATTTGGAAAAAACTTACAAAGGTTTTAGAACCTAAATGATATTAACCCTTTCTCTATTTGTGTTGCTGTTATTGTAATAGCTGAAAATTTAGCGAGGAAGAATCAGTACAAAAAATGATGCTGTACTAGAATAGCTACTGTAACTAAGGTGTGTTATCACATGTCTTCACATAAGATACAGGTATCAACACATGATTTGCTGTCTGCATTCTCAATCTCTTGTTCTGGTACATCTTGCATCCAACTTCATGGATCTGTTCCCTGTCTGTTTTTTTTCTTTTGGGACAGGTTTCATTATATTGCCCAGGGCAGACACAAACTCCTGGGCCCAAGAGATCTTCTTTCCTCAGTCCCTTGAGTAGCTGGAACTACAGGTGCATGCTATTGCACTGGGCTGCTTTTTTTGACTACTGACCTTTCTATTGAATGACATTTTCTCACAAAGTAAAACTGAGGACTGATTTTTTTTTCATCTTTGACCTTTGGTTTACCCACCAACCACTAATTGTATTCTCCCTTTAACTGTGTTGCTAGCCACTATGGGTAAACACTTTACCTGATTAGACTTGGCCCAGGAGATATTCTGTCTTGTTTAAGACTCTGGAGGCTTTCCTTGCAAATTTTACCCCAGCCAGGGTTTTTCTTGCTGTACCAATGGGACCAAACACTGTAGTTTTGCTGTTTTTATAGACACCACTTTTGTCATTACTATTTTCTTATAAAGGTTAGGCATTGACCTTAGGGTTCATTTATGTGGCTGCCTCTATGCATAAATAATTATTGA